TCTCGCTGTTGCTTCCATACTAAGGAAACCTTGGGATGCGAGATGCCAGGTGAGGTATGGTAAGCTTCCCAACCGCCCAGAAGAGTCAAGAGACATCCCGCAGCCAAGCCCATCACGGCAGACGTCAAAACTGACAGCCCAGGCAGAGGGGCTCTCTCTGGCCAGCAGGCGGAGCCATGTTCCACACTACGAGTCCGTGACTCGTGAGCTTGTCTACTCGGGTCCCATCTCGGATCTCCGACTTCGATCCTGACAGGCGTCGTAGGCCCATAGTGCGGTCATTTAATATCCAGCCCGGAACCGGTGCTGCACTGCCTGCAAGTCATGAGCGATTAAGGGACCAGAAACGGGGTCAGACGAACAATGCAACCTGTCGCCTTTGGTTTAATTTGGATGACCGGTAGTTGGGTACTACTGATTGACATTGGGCCCAGGTTGCAGTCGTATTGGTCTCCCAAAGTCCAGGGTCCATTGAGACTCATGAAGAAGAGCATCGTCATCAAGGGATGTCCTTGTTGCTGCTTTAGGTTCTCACACGAGCTGCTCACGTTACCGAGTGACGGCTCGAGTTGCCCCCTCTCTGCGTTTGCCTGCCCCTCTACGAATGCCTAGGTAAGTTCCCAAAGTCACGTTGTATTGAAAGTGTGGTAGGAAACGGCGGTTGTTCTATCTATCCGAACGATCTCGCCAATGACTCTCTCGCAGTTAGGTGTAAATATACACCTACCTTAACCTCTGCCTTGAGCTGTGTTAGTCAACAGACATAATCTCCAGTGAAAGTCGTTAGGTAACGGAGGTTCTAGAACACCACCGTTAATGTGCGTCGTCGTGGGGGTTGAAGGGCGGGGGCCGAGGGTGCAGATTTCCGAGTGCAACCATGATTAGGTCAGCTACTAGTGACGAGCAGCGCCACATATCTGCTTGGCGACGCTTCCTGCACCGCCATATTGTGGCTACTGAGCATCAGATGGCCCAAGCTTAGGTTTGGTGGCTGGACATCACGTGAAAGTCCTCCTGACTCTCTCCATGTCGCGAGAGTGTCGCATAGGTACCGTACTTGGTGGAAACATGGCTCGAACCACTGTCATTGCTGAATCATCCTTGCCCTTCGTGCTAGAAACGGCCAGAGACGTCCGGTACGAGTAAGGAAGACCTCTCAGAAGCATTCATGCGGGAAACCAGGTCGCACAAAAGATTTCGAGGGATTTGTTACGACTCTTGAATATCAGATGTAGTAAATGAGAGCAAACTGATGGCAGGAAGGAAATAGAGAAGCATCATTCGGAACTTATTCAAGGAGATCTTCGTCGGTGTAACAATATCTAAAGAAGCCAAGGATTGTTCAAAACTCGATACCTAACTTGGACGAACAGCTACGCAGCAGGTACGATGTACGAAAAGGCAGCTTGCTTGCAGGCTACTGCCCGCCGCTGCCCGCCGACCCACTACTTACTTGAGCGGGCTTACAGCTGAATGGTCGACGGGAAGCAAGCATTCGAGTGGGTGCTCGCTCGGTCTCACCCAAACGGCAAACCAAAACACTCCTTTCCCCTCAGCTCCCGCCCCCTCCCCCTCCACTTCACCTTGTCGCTCCCGTTCTCCAATTGTTCGGCCGCTTGCTTACCTTAGCTCTGTCCCGTCACGTCTCTGCACTCTTGGAGCTACCTTGCAGTACCTTATTACTACGGCACAAGCTCAACCATCTAAACCCGAAACCCAAAAACACCATACACCTGTATACCCGCCCGGGCCCAGGTATATAATCCGATCTCCCAAGATCCTGTCACAATCCATCACCGACACCTGCCATCCCACGGTTAATTGATTCCTCAAATACCCCAACCATGAATTACGGTCATCAGCATCCCAATGGCGGCTACCACCCCATGCCTCCTGGACATCCCGCGAACCAGATGCCCCAGCTTCCTCCCATGGGGTATCCAGCACCAGCGCCTTTGCCATCTAATATGCCGCCCAATATGCCGCCCAACGGAATGCCTATGCAACATCAACATCACCAACCGCCTCCGCCCCCTCCGGCTCAGGCACCCGTGCCAGCCTCTATCTCAAAAACGGATGATTTGGGCAGGAAATACGAGTACGTCGCGCGCTTCTTGCATAGCACCAAAACACTTGAACTAACAATGCGATTGCCAGGCTCGTCGTTGTGCAGCAGCCTCAGCGAGCGCGAATGTGCGGGTTTGGTGACAAGGTATGCTCACGTTTGCCGTTTCTAAGACTCGCGACTCCCACTAACAATTACCCCAGGATCGCCGGCCGATTACCCCTCCTCCGTGTATCAAAGTCGTCGTGCGAGACGCGAAGACTGGCCAAGAAATAAACCCAAAGTACGTGCGGCGCAACGAACCACAGCATCTTTGATTTGCTGTACTAACCTCGGCGGACAGCGATATCGATTCGGCACATTACATTATTCAGGTTGACTTGTGGTCAGAAGATGGCACCCAGGAGGTGAACCTCGTTCGTCACTCTTCCAACACAGCATCGATATCGACCACACAGCCTTACTCGTACACGGCGCTGCGCGAGGACCCCATGAACCCGCCGCCAGCGCAGCCTTACCAAGATATGCAACCTTATGGATCAGCACCCATGGGATACGGCCAACAACCGCCACCGCCGCAGCCCCAACAGCACATGATGCCAAGCTACGGCATGGCAGCTGGATCCAACTATCCTCGTTAGTCTTCCGACCATGTGACTGCTCTGTTCTTCTAACGTACTGACTCGTGGTGCAGAATACCAGTCAACCAATTCTCGGTTTGCGCCGGCAACCCAGTACTATCCACAACATGCCAACCCAGGTCCCGTGCCCTCGCAGGCGGATATGGCGTACGGCCACCGCCAGTCGCTATCCATGGCAGCGAGCCAACCCCAAGGAATGTTTACAAGAAACATCATTGGAAGCGTCAGTTCTAGTGCCTTCCGCCTCAACGACGTAGACGATCAAGTCGGTGTTTGGTTCATCATGCAAGATCTGAGTGTGAGAACCGAAGGCCACTTCAGGTGGGTTTCTTTATGCGATCCGATATATCAGCAGCATGACTAACTAGTTACTCTCAAGATTGCGCTTCTCATTTGTCAACATCGCGAAGCCCCCGGGCGCGACCAATCCAAACGGATCCATGGTAAACCAGCACAAAGCCCCGATTCTCGCTGCAACTTTCAGCGACGCTTTCCAGGTGTACTCGGCCAAAAAATTCCCCGGTGTCTGCGAGAGTACTCCCCTCAGCAAATGTTTCGCAACGCAGGGCATCAAGATCCCCATCAGGAAGGAGGGTGCCGCAGACGGGAAGAAGGGCGGTGACGATGACGACGAAGCCTACCAGTAGCGCATAGAGGCGAGCGATCCGGCGCACCCCGTACGTGTGTTTTGTCCCATGAAGAAAACAAAGGGGCATGGAGTTTAGGAGGTGCAATATCACAGCACAAGGATACAGTACGCAGAAAATGGCGTATTGGACGGTCACGTCACTGTGGTATGAAGTGTGATTATTTTCCCGGCCAGTGGGAGTTTTTGCAAGCAAAGCTTGCAACTTGTATTAATGCTCAATTGGATCATGTGCCTTTCTTTGGCGCCAGCATGGAAAATTTCAGAAAAATTCAAAAGTTCAAAAAAACAAAGTTCAATAATCCGAGATGAGATTTGTAATGTGTCTGCCGCGTGAGATCTCGTGCCGAGGAAGTTGGAATAAACCCTCATTATTCATATGAGAGCACCACCAAAAAAACGTCCTACCTACCTTTCCTGTAAGGCAGACAGGCCCCCCTGCAGGATACAGGATCAGGATTCGAGTGGGAAGTCCGGTCCGTCACGCCCAGCGGCCCTGATCTCCCTCCGCCCACATTCCGACTCGGCCGGGTAACGTTCGCTAGCTTCCGCGTCCTTTTTTTTCCTTGGGTGGGGTCGGGTCGTCCCAAGAGAGAACGCATACCTATGAGCTTGGAGGGCGCGGAAGGGGGGGAGGGGGAGGAAAGTAGGTAGGCAGAAAGCTTGTTATATTGAAAGATCCGATCAGATGGCGGGAATCGGGGGGAGAGAAAGGCAGAACGTCTCCGTATAGTAGGTACCTATAAACAGTTTCCCTCGAGGCGCGCTTGACAATGTATTAGGTAGAAATCTTTTGAACCATTGTTTTTCTTAAAATCAAGAGTGTGGCGGGCCCAGCTTGCTCGAAGCCTACCTATTCGAAATCACTCATCAAAGCCACTTTGTCAGAAGCACATTCACGAGGTACACAAAGCACGCAAAAACTACCATCTCATACACTGCCAACCGAAACGGAACACCGCGGCCTTTTGCTCCTTTTAAAAATCCGACACCTTGTCTTCCATTTAGATATTGAAAGCCTACAAAAAAATTGATGCCTGCAGTTCTGGCTGCGAGGCAACTCCAACGCCATATCACGCCCTGCCTTGCCATTTCCTTCCCTTTGCGGGACTTCTCGACTGAACGACGCTCCAACACTCCCAAAAGTTTTTTTCATTGCTGAACCTCCCTTCTTCTGCTCCCTCTCGCTCGGGAGTAGCAAAGCCACTGTGAACATGATTTCAGCTGTATGATTCGCATTCCATCCGTCAAAACCTCGTTGTGTCGCCTGTATCAAACGCCATCTCTCGTTTCCATCTCGAGCAAGAAAAAAGTAAAGACAAAAGGGAAACATGTCAGGGTAGAGAAGGAAGGGGGAAGAGGTGTACAGGTCGAGGATCATATCCACCTTTGATCCCCCTATGAACAAATCCCTGACTTTACTCTCAAGTGGAATAAAAGTCATGGGACAAGCTTCTAACGTCCTTTCATGAGCAATAATACAAGCCACGGGGATGAGTCCATCCCGGCTCAATTGGTTTTTTGAGCGTTCAAGCCTTTGTCAACGCACACGTGCCTGACTGCACGCAGACATCAGCCTGGCCATGGGTGAAGAAAATCAATAGTCTTGGGTACTTTTGATAACGCCAGCTGTGCGTGTGCTGAGGCTCTATGAATCGGCCAGTTTCGCAAAGTGCTTGGACCAGATCCAACCGACTTGATCGTCAGGGTCATCTTGGTTTTTGGCAAGCCATAGCTCGCCCTTCTCAGCAATAACATCAAAGATCTATGAAAAAGGTCAGTCTGGCAGCTCTTACCACACGCGCACAATACTGGAAGTCATGTACTTACCTCACCGGCTTGGTACGTAAGATACGGGTAGCCAGCCTCGTGCTTTGTTGTTTCAATATTGAACTCGAATAACGATGCAGCCAGCCAAAGAATGTTATATCCATTCCCAGCTGGGGTGCGCTCACGTGACGATGCGCGTGAGGATCTTTGGCCTTCCTCGACTCCATCGGGCATTGGCAGTGCTGAATGGAACAGGCCAGAGAAGCGCCTGGATTCATTGCCCGCATGCTGGGACTGATGTGATGGATTGGAGTCTCTTCTGTTATTTGACGCCGACTCTGAGCTCTGTCTCGGGAGACCATTCGTTTCGTAGCTTCGACCAGTGCCAGGTCGAGTGCTGGGCGGTGGAGCAATTGCACGGGGCACAGGTGATTGGTCACCCGTAACTGGAGAGGCAGACACTGAAGGCCGCTGAGCAGTTGCACCGGCGTAGTAGTCTCGGTAGTGGAACTGATGGGGGCTAAGTGGTGTAGTGCTTGGCGACAGAGTGAACTGGCCGCTGTGGCGCTTGGCAAAGTCTGGTGTCGGCAACATCGGGGCATGGTCTCCGTTGACTGACAGGCCTCTGGCTCGCGGAGATTGTATCTCAGCTGGCCGGGGTCGGTGCTTGGTCGTGACATCGTCGGTGCTAGCTGTAGTAGACTGCGATGTCCTTCCTCTGTATGCAGGGTTCAGGATCCCGACATTGGCAAAGAGTTCCTGCGCGTACTTATAATCCCTTTGGAAGGCAGAGACAATGTCGGGAACCTCTGGTGGCGGCCCCGTCTCTCCGGTGACCTTCTTGACCTTTTCCACCCAGATGGAGTACCAGTTCGCCTGAATGTTGACGAAATTGCCCAGACAAATGTTTCCAATCCTCTCTGTTAAGGCAGACAACTGGGGTAGCTCCTTCTTAAGGGTCTCGTTGAGGGCGTCGTACTGTTCCACCAATTCCTTAAGTCTGGCGTCTACCGTCTTTCCACCTTTCTTGATTTGTTCTGCCCTCTCATAGTCAAGCCGTCTCTTCGCACGTTTCTTCATAGCCAACGAGGGGTTACCATATGCTTTGATCACATGCTCGAATGGCTCAATGACATGCTTGCGAACCTGCTGGAGCTGCTTGGGTGTTAGTGTTTGGAGCATAGCTTTTTGAACGGATTGCTCACATGATCTTCTAGGGCAATCTTCTCAATATCTCTCATCGAAACATTGAATTGCACCCATTTACTCTCCAGCTCCGGATAGCTACCAGGTTGGAGACGCATCACAAGCTCCATGGCGGACAGGTACTGCAAGAACTCATGCACGTAGGCGCTGACCTGTCGGGTGTAGAACTCCACATCTCTGAGAACAACTTGTAGCCGAAGGTAGTCGTCGCCAAATTTCTCATGGAGCTTGGCGTATACAGCATCTTCGGGAATCTTCGAGCTTGCAGCCTGAAGTTTATCGACACGTTTGCCAAAGGCTCGGGCAAATCCAGCCTTGACATCGGATTCCTTCCTCTTGCGGCCAACAATTTGCCCAACAAGCTCGAAATTCTTCTTCGTCTTGTTAATCTCGACAATTGCCAACTCCAGGGTTTCCTTGGCTGACAACAGCTCGGCTCGATCCGGATGATCCTCGGGCGTGTGTCGCAGAAGCTCTTGGATGAGATTAGGATACTTGGTGATTCGCTGCATGGGCTTGATGAGAAGAGAGTCCAGGTCCCAGGCTGCAGTCAGGTCCTTGGCCACTTCATTACACTCATTGAGCCAGACCTTTACAGTGGGATCTTGCTGGATTTGGATCAAGCGTTTGGCCGCATGGTCGCTGTTTCTGAGGAAGCCCTCATGCGCCAGCCTCATCTGTTCAATATGCTTCTTGAAGAGAGGACCCAGCGACGTGGCTCTATCGTTGTCGTCACCGAGTTCTGGCGCCACTTGATTCGTGGACGAGTTCCCAGTCTGTTCCGAAGCAACCGAGTCCTCCTTCGGCAAAGGGGAACGCCTACCGTGGGGTACGTAGACAGTGCAGACAGCTTCCTTAAGCTGAGCACAGAACATGGTGTGGAAGGTGATAATCTCGTCTGTGTTTCTGAAAATGAGCTTGATGGTTTTGTCATCCAGTCGTGGACAAGCTTCAGCGGTGCCCTTGTAGATCTCTTCCACAATATTCATGTCTCTTACGAAGACCATCTCGGTGTCGACGAGTTCTCTGATCACATTGCGTCGTTGCACTAGGCGGTGCTTCTCTTTTCCGATCGGTCCGTCTTTCTGACTGGGTGTTGCTATCGACTCGACAGGAGTCTGGCCGCCAAGAGAATACTCCCTGGTTTCAATCGACATGTGGTCGATGGATTGGGTGGTTGAGACGGGGCGCGATGCATCTTCGCTCTGACGCCGAGAAGAGCCCGCAAGGGTGCTTCCAGGAAGTGTGTCTGCGTAGATGCTGCTAGCTGCTGTTCGCCTGTCGCGGACTCGTGTAGACGCAGGGACTGGTGGGGGCTCATGTTCTGGCCGCGGCAAGGTAGGATCTACCTTGCGGGCTGGGAAGTGACTCTCATCAATGTAAGGAACCGAGAAACCATCTCCAGTATCCAACTCCGGCAGCTGATGAATGGTCGCACGTTGGGACGGCTGAACGGCTGCTGTATCCGATGGCGCAAAGTCAGGGCTGTAAAGTTCACTCTGTCGGGCGGACGAGTCTCTGCTAGAGCCCGACCCAAAAGCCGACTCGGATGCATAGGGCGGCTTGGGGATTGGGAGGACATCGTCAAAGGCCGAGATCCTGTGATGGATGGGTTCGTCACTGTCGACCGAGAAATCAGTCCATGCGGATTGCTGGCTGGTCCGGTTCACAGTCGCATGCATGGAGGGAACCGTTAGGCTGCGGGACGTATCGGGAGTTTGCTGGCTTTCGAGGCTCGTTTTATGAGGATCATCTTGCGGATCAGAGGACTCGCAAGTAGATGCTCGTTGAGACGAATCGTTATCCTTGTGGTGCTCATGGTAGAAGTCTTCAGGCTTCTCGAGGGTGTCGCTTGCTGATCCCAAATCCTTCTCCGTATTGTGGTGGAAGTAAGACACATCACACACGGACCCATCCATATCCCCCATTTGACTCTGATCGTCAAAGTCATCATACGACTCCATTCTTGGGAAAGGAATTGTTTCCTGTCTAGGAGAGTCATATTCAGATTCCCGCCTGAGGATTTTGACTGTTGTTTCGTATGGCGGGCTCGAGAAAGGAATCGGCTCGTATTCAGACATCGGCCGCGAGCTGGCAAATGCACCAGGAACCACCGGTTCATCGAACTCGCTTCTCGTCGGGGTCGGTTCAGGCGATTGATGGGAAGATGTTGGTTCCAACGAGATCTTGATCGAAACCGCGTCGTCCCCTGCGGACTCATCCTCGAATGGGTACTGGTATTCCGCTTTTTCTGGCGTAGGCGGTCGAGGCTCTTCCTCGGCTTCAGCCTTCTCTGGCGCTGACGGCGGGGGCTGCTCTTCGACTTCGGTAGTCTCGGCCAACAATTGTAGCTGAATTTCCTCAGCCTCGTTCTTCTCAAAGGTTGGCGCACGTCGCACTTCTTCCAATTCAGCCTGCTCGTGGTTGCCGTCGGCTTGAACGATCGTCAATCCGAGCCCAGTAGGAGGTTGCGCGGGCTCTAGCTGCACAGGTGGAAGTTCCTGTGGCTCATTATCGAACTCGGTAGTCTCCGAAGTGGCCGAGATTGCGGATTGCGGAATTCCTTCCTCTCTCTCAAAAGGAGGGCTCAAGGCCGGGAAACTGCCCGGGATGCCGAGCGTAGGGGAGTCTGCAGCTTGAGGCTGAGGCGGAGAGAGGGAAACGATGGGTGGCAATATCGTCGAAATGGTTAGTGGCTGAGGCGACTGCGCAGGCGATGGAGGCTGCACCGACGGTTCCGGTGCTGCAGAGAGTTCCTCCAACGGCTTCTCGAAGGTTTCGCTATGATCCACTGGAGGCGATTCGGCTTCGATCGGCGGGACCGGCGGAATCTCTTCCTCCTCAGCAGCAGCAGATTCTTCGTCCTTCTTGCGTTGCGCCGCTGCCTGTTTTGCATCCCGCACCTGACTATCGCGGATAGACTTAGTATACGCTAGTCTGATGTGTTCGCGCCGTTGCTCAAAGTCGATAGGGCCCACAGAGATCTTTCGTCTTCTCGTCGTTGATCCATCAGGCTTCAGGGACTGCTTTGGTGCAGGCTTGTGCGGCGACTTGGACCTGTCAACGGCTTTCAAGCGCGAACTTGCCGTGGTGGCTGTCGATACAGATTGCCGAGGTCGAGAACTGCGCAGTGGAGGAGATAGCTTCGGAGGTGGTGCTGCCACATATGCAGTGAGACGGGTGTTGTTATTCGGGGTCACAAGACCTCGAGGCGCAGGTTTCCGTCCTGGCGTCGCTTGCGTAGGTGTTTTCGCTCGAGTAGGTGTCTTGGCACGATTAACAGGTGTAGTTGTCCGACTTGTCTTACTTGCGGGCGGCGGGCGCTTGAAAGTCGACGGAGAGTTAGCTCTAGAGCTTTCCCGTGTTGACGGCGGACTGTTCGAGTCGCTTGAGTTGGCCAACTTGCGTACAGAAACGGGCAGGCGCGATGTAGGTGATGCTGCTCGGTCAAACTGCTCGACCTCTGCCATCGGTCGTGATGCAAGAGCCTTTCTCACCAAAGGCGCTCCAGCCTTTGACGCGGCCACATCACTATGTGCCCGAACATGACCTCTAGCATTGGGGGCCGAACGTCCTGTTGAACTATTCGACTGTGTTGTTACGGATCGGTACCAATCGGTTGGGGAAGCCGGCTCGACGAGGTCAGGATCGGATTTCGTCCTTTGGTGGAGCTTAGCCACATGTATACTGGACTCTGAAGTCCGCCGCGGCCGTGAGCCCGAACCCTCGATTCCAAATCCTACGGCCGAGGTATCACGCTGTTCTGGAAGAATTTCGCCGAAAAGCAGACCGGGCGCTCTCGGAGATGAGGGTGGTAAAGAAGGTGACTTGTGCTGCAGGTTTGTCATAGATTTGGATGCGTGTGCAATGCCCGTAGCTGAAGTCGTATTCCGCGGCTTGGCGATTCGACTGGCGAAAGATTGCGAATTGTTTGACAACTGATCCTCGGCGACATATCTCGTTCGTTGTGTTCGAGTGGCCGTTCCTCTGCTAGTATCAGGTGTCAGTTCACGGTTCGTCGAGGCCCTCAGTGTAGAGTACGATGTTGACCCGCTTCCACTAGGTGTAGTTTTGTCGATATTTGTCGCGGCTCTGGTCGGTCGAATAGGGACGCCTCGCACAGGGATTCTGGGCATCGAAGGAGCCGGGGACGAGGTCTGCTGATCAAATCTCTTGGTTAAGTCCTTGACGCTCGGCTTGCGATTTGTGTTTGTTCTAGGGGCGCCAATTGGGGGTTCGACAGGAGCAGAAGCAGATCGTTGCGAAGGGCGCAAGGGCGTGCGGCCTGCGGGAGCCGGCGGGTGCTTTGGATCTTTGCCATTGCCGTTTGGCCGCATGGCCGGGTTCTCGCGAGCTCGAGATACTGAGGTCGCCATGTAGTCGTAATCTGAAGAAGGGGTTCGTCGATGATGATCTGACGACTGTACGCCTCGATAGCTTCGGTAGAATTCATCCGGGTTTACTGAATCGTGATCATGACCAGCGGCGGCGAAAGCCCCAGCCGTGTGTGCGGCAGAGGCATCCAAATTCTCGAGAGCGAAGGCGTTGGCAGTGGGGCTGCTAGGGATGTAATGGCGATGAGATTGCTGAGAGGGGGTCTGGGATGAACGATGGTAACGATCGGAATCGGAATCGAGGTCGAAGTCGGAGTCGTGATGGTCGTAGTGGGAGTCAAAGTTGGGTTGACGATGAAGCTGGTGAGGGTACTGAGGAGGAGAAGCTAGAGGTTGCGGTTGGTGGTGCTGGAGATGGACCTGGCGTTGCACATTGAGCGCAGGTGCCAGGCGGTCCTCGTCTTCTGGACTGCCAGCTTCCATTGTGGCCTGAACATCAGTCAGGCGTGTCGGGTGGACTGGGTCGTCAAGAATTCCATAGACCCATGCAGGCTGTGTGGGATGTTTGGGTTGGGAAGCATTGATGTGTTGGCCTGCAAGCTGAGTGGGCAGCGACAGTTTGGAGAGGCGACGGGCAGTCCCTGGTTGGAGAGCGTTGGCAGTGTCTGGGGCCTATCGACAGCAAATCTTAATGCATGGATGGGTGGCCGCCGCAGGAGCAGGCCGTGAGTGTAGTGCGACTTTTTGCTCTGTGGGGGTTTTATGGAGATTGGATACTTTTGCTGGAGTCGAGACGAAGAGAGATCTGCAGGTGCCTTTTCCGCGGTTGTGTTAATTTTGTCCCTTTTCCCGGGGGGGGGGGTCTTGTGGTGAGGTGATGAATCGGACGCAACGAGATGGGATGGCAAGAGCGAGGTTGGAATGGTGGGAAGGTGAAAGGCAAGGGCAACCAACAGGAAAGGTCAAGATAGTAGGTTGGTTGGTAGGTAATTAGGCAGGTAGGGAGAGGCAGACAGAGACGTAGGCACACGCGTGCACGCACACTCACACTTGCACACACCATACAGATTGCCTTTTTAGCGCACTGAGTAAGTGCGAAGCGGGAAGGCACGAGGAGGATACCGGTACCTTCTCCCTCCGCGCTAATATGTGTGAGTGAGGAGGCAGATGGGGGGAAGAGAGGAGAGGGGCCGGAGAGGTGTGTACACTCCGCATGTGTGTGTCGCCTACCTTACCTCGAGGTACCTAGTGGCGTGGTGTATGTGTAGTGGGAAAGTGAGAAGGAGCCATCGTCTTCATTGGTAAGGTGGTTGTTAGCTTCTATCTACCTCAAAAAAAGACACTCGTTGACGATGGCAAAAACCTGGGAGGATATGAAATGGTACGGGGAAGGAACGAGGAGCAGAATTAGCGCAGTGCCTTTCATTCTTGCGACTACACCAAAATCGCAAAATTACAATGCAGGTGCAAGTCTGGGTCGGCACGGCACGTAATCATCCCGTCTACGCCTACTTCTTTTGCAACAAGCGAGGCAGAGAAGTCTCTGCTAATTGCAAATTTATTAGCGACCTGTGGGAAGCAGCGGACGAGCATCCGTAGACTGTAGTGTACAGAGTATGCGCAGTATCATGCAGTCAGGTCGTGGTCGACTGGATGAGCTGAGACGGCAAGTGGGGACCGTAGATGCGAAAGGTGAGGGTATCGTCCAATCGGTCAAGATGAATGCGCTTCGGTCAGAGACTCAGAGTGGCAGCCGGGACATGATGGAAAGCAAACAGGATTGTATCATGGGACGTCGCGTGCAAGGTACGGAGCACGAACTGGTCGGGCAGCTTGGCAGTAATTCGCATGTCAGGGAGGGGGAACTGCCCAGGTATTCCTCTTAGAGAGGGAGACGCGAAAGAAAGGGAGGGGATGACGGCAGGTGCTAGATTCAGTTCGGTAGGTCTGCCCGGACACTCGGGAAAGAGGGAGCGAGACCCGGGCCAGGGTCCGGGAAGGCGCAAGGGGGTCGCCTCTGCACACAATTTGGAACTATCATATAATACCTAATCAAGTGTATGTCTGCCTCATGAATAGAAAGCAATTATCACCAAAGCCCAACGAGATGAACAGCGTTTCTGGCATCGATAGAGACAAAGTAAGTTCATGTGGTGGAGAGTAGAAGAGAGGAACAGAAAGACAAAATTGACTGCAACTTCCAGTGTCGCATCCAGGTTCACATTCAGGTACGGACACAAAGTACGTACTTCTTGACGAAATCGCATCAGAACCACGGAGCAAAAAAAGACAAAAAGCACAAGGTATTACGGACACCAGGTGTCGTCTACTTCATAGGTACATCGTACTACGAGTACCATGTGAGGTACGAAGTACTGCGTACAGAAAATAAGACGTCAATTTGCAAAATGTCCGTCTTTCCCTGTCAGCCTCCACTCGACTGTTTGGACCTTGGAAAACATGGCATGGGCATGGTTGTGTCTCCAGAGAGACCCAGAGCAACAAACACTAAACTCCACTACAAGATTGATGAAGTTTGTATTTTGTCCAGAGTATCCGTCTCTTGCTCCTGTGCTTCTCCATCTCGAATCGCTCGCTTTGGCCAGTAGGCAACAAAAACAAAAGGCAATCTCGATTCGAACGATTCAGGATCTATCGTCTTGCGGGGGTAAATTCCTCTGCGATACGGCCCCTTTCCCTTCCAAAGAGGCAACGTTTTGTTCGTTCGCAGCACAAAGTCAAACCCCGGTGCGTCCCTTGGCCCTCGCTTCGTCCCGTCTTAGAATGGTCTTGCGGCGTCTGAGTAAGAACGCGAGACATTGGAGAAAGGGGAATGCACCTGGAGTGCATTGACGGTCCCCGTATCTAAGCCTTTCCACCCGCGAGGTACAAGAAGTGAGGGGAATCACAGAAACATCCAAAAGACGATTTAGAGACAAGAAGCTTGGATTCAAATGCCAAGATCGTATGGCCACAACCAACATCAGACGTCACTACCAATCGGTCAATATTTTGGGCGGTAACCGAAGCCAGAGAACGGCGGGGCCCGGCTCTTGCAGTTCATGGATGATTGGCTGCGGATGTTCGAATTGACGGCAAACTGGCAAGCATTCCACGAGGTCAGAGGAGTCAATCTCCATGCTGGGAACCCTCGTCGATGGTACGATGCTGTACCGCAAGGCTTAGATCAAAGCCACGGACAAGCAAATGTCAAATATATTGACAAATACGTACTCCATACTCCGCAAGGTACAGGAAGACACCGCTCTATCAAAGTTTCCTTCCTCCATGATCCATCCGTTCGGCACCGACAACGGAGGTGGAGGTGGGCGGGAAATAACATAACAACGCACCTCGTCCCGAAACGGTCAAAGTCGGGTCGAGACCGAGATTGTGGTGGTTGTGGTTGCCGGTTGGGGTTGCAATCAAGCCAAGTCCTTCCAGGTCCCGGGTTGGAACATCCGAGAGAGTTAAGTTGCTTTCTTACGACAGGATGACTTCAAGGTTCCTATGCAGATGGCTCAACGCTCAACAGCCCAATGCGGCTGAACATTGATTCTGTGGCCGATAGCCAAACGCCAACCGATCTGCTTTGGGATCAATACGCGCAGGCCGCAGGGTACTGGGGGGATTCGTTTCGATGAGGGGAGCGAGGGAACTGTGTTGGGATTCGAAGCCCGGGCACCTATATCAGTGCTACTATCGACTTACGTACATACGAATGCTCCGTGATCACCATGTCGCCGTATTAGAGTCATTCGAGGCTGGCAGACAGCCTACCACCTGTACGCGGTCATGACCCGGGGTGCGGCGGTCGTTGAGACAAGAAATCCTACTTGCCGCTGCATTGCATCCTGCGGGCTTACGCAGGCAGACAGGACAAGTTGGGGAACAGGCGCAGCTCGTATTCTGGCAGAAGACGCAGAGAAGTCATCCAACGCTCTCGGTCTTGAGGCAGGGAAGTCCCGCCAATGGTCCAATGCAACTCCGAAGTCTGTGCTTGGCTTAAGACATGCTACTATGATTTGAGGGCTCAGGGCTTTCAATGGATGGATGGCCGACCCAGCTCGACCTTCCATGATGTAGCTCCCCCGCCTCTCCCATCCAAGACGTGAGTTCAAGGAATGGCTTAGTCAGCTCTACAGGCTTGACTATCTGCTTGTTGACGTTGTCAAATACCGTACTCTCTCCAGCTGCTTATTGTCATTAATGTATCAAGGTTGGTATAGTATGGAACATTAACAACAACAATCAGAAAGGAAGACCCATACAAGGCACAACCTGGGACTTCACAAGGACGCTAATACACTGATTGCAGAAATTCTTTTGGCTATTATGAAACGCGATCCACGTCGGCCCAGCTAAGTGGCTCGTTCCTGTGAACAATACCGAACCGTCTCTTCCACAGACAAGGAACCCTTTCCCCCAGGCGTTCACTCCAATTTTGAGCCGGGCTACGGGATATTGGGGGGGGGGGGGGGGGGAGTCGGTTCAACGTAGCACCGCAGGACAACTCTCCTAACCGCGCGCCGCCGCCCGCTTTCCGCCGCCCTTGCATGCACAGTAAAGCTCAGCCGGGCTCTAGTTTTCAGGCACTGCCAGGCTAACAGGTGACGATGCACATTATGGTTAGACGGAGGTAGTGTAAGCCCTGCAAGTGTGCAGATGCATCTTGGTACAGCGTACATACTTGGCATAACGCCTTGGAGATATCTGAGCTAAGCTGAATGCCGGCGGTGGCTACTCCATAGTCTGGACTGAAATACGTAAGGTAATCCACAAGCAACCAATGTCCACTTGCAGGGCTTGATTCATTCAGACTATCCGAACGCATACATAGTAAACCTCGTGACCTTACGGATACTGCGTACGGAGTACAGCACCCTCCTAACAAAGTGTGACTCCCGAGACCAGGGCAAGTTTGAGAGGCCGACAAACCCGCCCAACCCTATCGTGCCTTGACACTTGAAGAATTTCCACCGCACGGCGCAAGGTGACGGGAGCTGGTGGACCCCCACGACCACACATCGTCTCACCAGCCCCCAGGGGTGCCTTAGCGTCCACGGTCTCCCACAGTCTTGCGCCCCCTTCAGTGGCTTGAGCGTCGAGGGGCCCTGGACTTTGGACTCCTGAAGGGTTGGCTGTTTGTGCACTACGGATGGATTGCCTACGGTAGTAAGCAGTGCACAAACAGCGTCATCGAGCGAAAAGTCGATAACGAGTCAAAAACAGCAAAAGTCTCCAACGAGGGCAAAGAGGGCAAAGCCACAAAGCTACCGTTAAAAGACGGCGCCCGTGTTCGGCAGATCGTATAGGACATGCACCGTCGTCCCATTTTCCCCACTGCTCACTGAGCCCAGACCTCACAGTCATCAGCCAACCAGTACGTGCACTTCCGACCGTTCAAGCTGCGATACGTACCTGCTGCAACTTATCCGGTTACCGTTAGGTTACCTAGGTTCTTACCTTAGCAGGCTTAGGTCCTCCGTTCACTCTGTTAAGCCTCCAAGGGAATTAATTACCTGATACACTGGTCCAACCGAAGACGCGTTGAGCTGTCGCGCTTGTCGACCACCAACTACGATCAACGACAGAGCACAAGTCTGATCCTCGATCTGGCCTCCGCACTCTCACTGTTGGCATTCCTCCCATACATGACTTGCATAACCGATTGAGATGACACCTTCTAGCGCGAGGGTCAGGTCGCGCGATTCTGACTGGTGGTGATTTACAGTGGCTTTCTCATAATCCCTGTTCACCTAGTCGTGGGGTTCGCATGAGGACAGGAACCCAACTACATGTCTACTTCCTTGTCAGTGTTGACGCGAAATCCGGCCACGATTATGGCGACCAAGAGAAAGTCCCTGGCACTTGAGAGGCCAGAGGATGAGCAATCCGAGGGCAAAAAATCAAAGTTGATCCAGATAAAAGGCCAGGTCAGGCATACGCTTCTACAACAGCACTATGATGTCGTGCAGACACTTCGCGGGTACCTGCTTTCTAAACTGCCAGGGTCTTCGAGACTTCGCCGCAAGAAGATTGCAGCGTTGGGAAAAGACCAGGCACGGTGGGCACGCATTCAAGACCACGACATTGGACCAGAGCTTTCTTCGTTGTTAGACACAACCTTGGTCTGCACGCAACACCGCCCCAAGGCACAAGCTGACTCTCGGTGGGCGCAATGGCGGTCCTTCTCTCAGAAAGCCGACGACTCGGTTGTGTCTCTCTCGGGAGGTTTGGCCCAAGCTACTTCCTCGCAGTCAGAGGTAGGCCACTGCTACGCGACCAATATGTCTCTAAGGCTGACTGCCAAACACAGATCGTTGACTTTGTGGTGTGGCAAATATTCAACAGACACGCTGCTTGGCCGAAGCACCTCCTCTGCGATGGGTTCAGGAGGCAGGCTCAGAACATTGCCAACGCAAAAGGCCACGGTCGCGATAGCGGAATTCAGGGGCTGATCGCAGTTGACCCGAATCACTACGTGCAGGCCCTAAAAGAAGCCCCTTGGCCACAAGTACTTATGCTGCTCGGGAAATCAGGCGAGCAGATCATGATAGATCTCCTCATTGATACGGCGATATTTCTCCCAGTGAGAGCTGGTCACGGCAATATGTACCAGCTCAGTGGTATCCCCATGTCAGAGACGGGCATAGCCGCGAAGCAGGACAGCAAGAAGCAGACAAAAGGAGATGCCACAACGCCGCCACCCATACCTCAGGAGCGGCTCCCGTCTGAAATCAACCTTATCAGAAATCGCATGTTCTACGCTCGAGCTGCTCTCACCGCTAAGGGCACGGTTCAGTATGGACTGCGGCACATACGTAAGTTGACATTCGAACCAAAGACAAAGAGAGACTTCCTCTGACTCTGATCGACAGATGTTCTAAGTCGTTGTCCGCGTCTATCGTATCCAGAACAGGCAACCGAAGAAGAGAGATCAAGAACCACACAGGCGAACGAGCGCAACACGCTGAAAGTCATGATGTATATCTTCCCTCGACAATTCGGCCTACACAACGCCTTCACCTCCAAAGTTGACCACTCCAAGACGTCGCAAAAGTTTGCAGACTATACTCTCCGCGAAGACGAAATCTCGTCAACGTTCAAGGGACGGGATATCAAGCTTCCAAAGAGGCTGCGCGGAGACACAAAACGACTGGTGCAGAGGCTACAACTTCTCCACGGTCGGTGCGCTTACGCTGAGATACTGCGGCATTACTGTCCTTCTGCTGTTGACTTCAAATCCCGGAACTCTGTCCCAAAAAAGCCAGTGAAGCAGTCCAAGACACTTGATCCTGCACCGGTGGCGGGAAGAGACAACCATACAGCTGTTACATCTGGTGCCCCCAGAAATAGCACACATAGCCGCCCCAAGCTTCACCAACCCGCGGCGCCTCCGCTACTGCCCACGTTTGATGCGATCACTGACTTGGCAACTCCCGCAGCTCATGTTTCCGCATTCTGTCAGGCTGTACTGGCCAAGATCATACCAGATGAGATGTGGGGCACTGGTGAAGGCGGAACTTACAACAAGAGTCAAATACTGAGGAAAGTCGATCACTTTGTCAAACTGCGGAGGTTCGAGGCCATATCCCTCTGTGAGCTCGCAGACGGGCTCAAGGTAAGCAGTCCTCCGGTTCTAATGGATTCTGTCTGACGCATTCATCAAGATTACCAGTATGGAGTGGCTGGCGCCTCCAGGTCTCAAAGGCCAGAAAACCAGCTTGACTGACATGAAGAAACGGCATGAGATTATGAACGAATTTTTGTACTACATTTTTGATTCGCTGTTGATACCCCTTTTGCGCAGCAACTTCTACATCACAGAGTCGAGCTCTCACCGCTACCGTCTCTTTTTCTTCCGGCATGACGTTTGGCGATACGTCGTAGAACCAGCAATGGGGAGTCTTCGAAAAAACATGTTTGAGGAGATCAAGCTTGACCAGGCTACCGCAATACTCGACTCCAGGCGGCTGGGCTTCAGTCGTATCAGGCTTCTGCCCAAAGGAAAGGGTATGCGGCCGATCACGAACCTGCGAAGGCGAACAGAGATCAGGGGCAGGAGCTCTGTTCTCGGCCCAAGCATAAACACTGTACTGGGCCCGGTACATTCCATGCTCAAGCTCGAAACGGTAACCCTCGTCATCCAATTTCTGTGTCATTCATCTAGTTACTAACGGCCTTTGCAGCAAAGCAATCCCTCCAGGCTCGGATCATCCATGTTTTCGGTGGGTGATCTCTACCATCGCCTAAATGCCTTCAATGCCAGATTTGGCGACCATCGGCCGGTATTCTATTTTGCCAAGGTAGATGTGCAGTCTGCCTTCGACACCATCCCTCAGGAGGCTGTGATCAGGCTGATGGACAGCATTCCGAATGAAGAACAATACATCATCAAGAAGCACGTCGAAGTAAAAGCCGGATTACTGGATTCTCGGCATCAGAAGAATGCTGTATCAACAGTCACGCGGCGGTGGCATTCCATCGCCGTCACCCGCAACGATACCACTGACTTTTCGCAGCTGGTGGAGGGGCGTCTCGGCATAAACCGCAAGAACACCGTATTCGTGGGAAACACCATGAGAAAGGAGCTAGAAACGGACGCGCTGATGGCTCTGATGGCATCGCATATCAAGCAGAACCTCGTCAAGGTGGGCAAGAAGTTCTACAGGCAGAAGAAGGGTATCCCCCAGGGCTCTGTATTGTCTTCCGCTCTGTGCAACTATTTCTACGCCGACCTCGAGGCGCAGCATCTGTCGTTCCTGTCTGAAGGGGAGGAGCAGGGAGAGGAGGGTGGAGAATGCCTGCTCTTGAGGCTGATTGACGACTTTCTTCTCATCACGACGGACCAGGCCAAGGCACGCAGGTTCGTCCGGGTCATGCATGGCGGACTACCCGAGTACGGCGTCGCTGTCAGCCCCAACAAGACCTTGGTCAACTTTGACATGGACTTTGACGGTACGAAAGTAGCCAGGCTTCCGGATGGGGCTCGATTCCCTTATTGTGGACTGGGTATCGACTGTGATACCCTTGACATTGTCAAAGATCGAGGTCATATCAAAGATACAGGTAAGCTCTTTGTGTCGCCGTCGTAAGGAGGTGAGAGAAGCAGCGCCACGCAGTGAGCTAACCTTGCCATCAGTGGTTTCCAATGCGTTGACAGTGGACTACGGGAACAAGCCCGGTCAGAATTTCCAAAGAAGAGTCTTGAGTACGTCCCACAACCTTGCTACCCTGTGGCCAGCCCTCACTCATTTGAAATTCGATTCAATCCCGCCAGCTAACCTCTACGTCATCTGCCACCAGACGCCTTCAAAATCCAGTCCCACCTTATGTTCTACGACACCAAGCACAACACCCTCAAAACCGTCATGTCCAACCTCCACAAGGCTTTTGCCGAGACGGCCGAGAAGATGTGGGCGTACTGGCGCTGTCTGCCAACCAATAAACGACCCGGTGACGGGCTCGTCGTGCGTATGTGTATTCCTTATCCCACTCCAACATACCATACTTGCCTTTTTTTCAATCCTGGCCTTGACTTTGACCCCCTTTTGACTAACGACACCCATTTCATCTTCTCACAGAGACCTTGGCCAAAGTAATCGACGTCGCTTACGGACTGCTCACGAGCAAGTCTCGGAGGGAAAAGTATCCAGAGTATGATTGCGCCGTGGAGAAGACGCAGGTTGCGTGGTATGTATTTCTTCCGCCCCTGACACATTGTTGTGGACATCCCGCCGTCTTACTGAATGGTTCTCTCAAAGGCTCGCTCTCGATGCAGTGAGGATGATTCTCGCAAAGAAACAGGCAAACTTTACGACGGTATTGTCATGGATCGATAAGGAGACAGGGCTTCTTGACGCCAAGAAGACGGCCCGGGCGAGGAAGTACGTACGAGGGTGAACAAACCAGAATAGTATCGTAGTGCAATGCACAAAAGGTCGAGGAGATTTTGGTGTAGCTTCCTCTGTGCATATGTATTTTTCGAGGCAGAGTCCCCCTTGCCAAGTAGAACAGGTCGGATGGAACTTGAACTCTCCCGTCTTTGTCTTACTCGTTACTCCTCTCCTGCCCCTCTCCTGTGCCACAGATCATCTATCCATATTGAACACGTCGGTGGCCGTTGTGATGAAACCATAGGAAACTGCCTTCTCGTACAACCCGGGAACCATGTTGCTTGCTAGGCAGTAGTTAGACTCGCACTTTTGGTGTGATGCGAAAGATGCCGTGTGAGGCGAAAGCACCAGATTTATCTCCGAGGTGAAGTAACCTCCACACTGCCTTGCAGATATTTGAGAGCATACAAATCAATTTACAAGAGTAAAGTTGACGGTTATCGAATCTCACATGGGTGGTACCCAGCACTCCAGCCCTCTGTGTTGACTAATTTCAAAAAAAAAGGGAGCGATTCAAAACAGAGCTACGACAAATGATCCTCGGAGAGATCATGAACGACCAAGGAAGATTCTTCCTGGAGAAACTCGCCGAAGCGTCCGAGTACCCAGATTCCCTCCTCTACCAAGACGAACGACGGGCGACGCTAAAGGCACGCATCGAGCATTATGCCGAGAGGAAACATCAAGTATTTGACGAGGCCCAAGAGAAACGGAAGGATAATCCGTTGATAGTCGTCGACTTTGGCACGGGAAAGTCTCGATCTCCGGCGGCGGGGGGCGATTTCGATGTCGACGAGGTTGCCAACGATAAAAACAGTAGGGAGAAGGCCGACTTACACATCATACGCAACATCGACGACTTACGAAACAAGCTGGCCTGGCCGGGCCCGAAGCAAGGCCCGTGGGAGTCTGAATACCTTGAAAAAGACCCTCCGTTACGAGTGATGTGAGTCCGCTCATCGAAAGCAATCAAGCGCAACAGCAAAAAGGGGCACTAATGGCAGCGTAACCAGCCTGCTAGAGCGCATGTGGCCTACCTCGCTGCTACTGAACCTCAGCGAAGACGTGCTGTTGGAGATCCTGACCTACCACCAGATCCCGGCTCACTTCCTGACCTTCGTTACCAGCGGCGGTGACTCCTGGAGCTTCGCCAGTAGCATGAGCTTCGCGGGCTTCAGAGGCTGTACGAAGACGCTCTCGGGCCCTGGTCAAGAACAGCCCACCAGCTTGGCGGTGCTAGGTCGTAGCGGTAGGCACATTCAGGTCTGCCTCACCTTGTTCAGCATCCGCCAGTATCCCTCACATGCGCTGCCCCAGGACGCGGACCCCGCGAGAACACCGCGGTGGGAGACGCACTCCGCGGTCGTGTACGTCCATTTTGACATTATCGAGGGCACGGCGGTGTGGTTGCTCGCAAGCCCCCGATCGTATCATCCGGAAAGGGGTCACGGCACGCAGAACCTACTTTGGAACGCTTTGAAACACGACATGGCGAGTGACGTGAAAGCGCTTCAGTCGCTTGACGTCCCCGAGCGATTCCGTATCAGTGTTGACAGTCTCCTTGCGGCCGCCGAGTGGTCTATCGGGATGTTTTCGCATCACGTCCAGGACACAGAGAAGAGGCTCCATGAGTTGGTGAGTCCGTCTCGCCACATAATATGAGAGGCGCAGTAGAGCCGGAGCTATGCTAAGATGTCATGCAGACCAAGCCTTACGTCTATCCGTATGACGATGACGAGACGGTAGATGACAAGGCAAGCGCATCAATCCACGCCCAGGACCTTCGTAGAATGGCGTTCTTGATGGAAACTCGGCATGGCAGTGTCATCAAAGTTGAGAATAACCTTCGGGTTCTCCGCCGTCTCCGAGAGTTTTTCGTGGAAAATGTGGCCGGGCATCTCGGCCCTCTCAGAGATTCCCACGCCAATGAGATCCGGACGCACATCAAAGGCTTTGCGGAGAAGTTGACACTGGTAATGGCAGAGATCGAGGACTTGTTGGACAGGGCATCAGCACTGGATAAACTTGCGAGGAACAGAGAAGAATACGTACGTGGCGACTAAGAGTGTCAAATCAAGGGGAGCGAACGCTAAACGGCTTAGATTCAACGGTTGCAAGCGCATCACTCGACTCAGCAAATGAATACAATCGCGGTGCTGACGGCGGATGACTCGTCCGCGATGAAGCAATTGTCTTTCATCGCCCTGATATTGTTACCAGTCACGGTCGTATCGGTAAGCCAAGATATCCCCCGTCGAGCATTGCTGTTGGAAGCAAGGCAGAACACGAATGCGCTGATCGGATGTCGTAACCAATGATATTCTATGCAGACGGTTCTCAGTACGGACATTGTCAAGTTTCAGGACCTTTCGAACGAAAACGAGAATGCCACCCGAGGCACGTCCGAAGGCCCCATTCCGATATACAGTTTTTCGGTGGCGGCCTTTGGCACATGGGCGGTCGCCAGCGTACTCATGACTATCGCGACTTTGGTCATTGTCAAGCCGGCAGGGAACCGTAGGAGGCAAGGCAACGGCAGTATAGACTGTGGGACGCACGAACCTCCCATGGAGAAAACAAGGAGATCTCGACTGATAACGCGATTGTCTCATGCGTGGAACATTCGAGACAGGTTCGACTCAGCCGTAGACTCTTCGTCCCGCAATGCCAGGCCCAGGCCACCGAGCCCGGCGACTTCGGCACTCGCGACTTCGATACACACGGCCCCGACGGTTGTCAAGATGGCATCAAAGTCGCGAGGAACTCCGGTGGTGGATATGGACGCTCCCGTGTGTGCCGAGTCCTCTCAAACTTGGCCATCGATGGGGTACTGGCTGGGGGATGCTTGGAACACATTGTGGCGGTCTGCAAAGGATAAGGTGAACATGACGGAGATGGCGACGACACCTCTACCACGATGGGATAGTCGAAGAGACGAGGGACGAGAAGATGGGCAGAAATCGCGGGGAGAGGGTTCATGAGTGCATGGTGTCCTAGCATGTTGGTTTAAGGCACAAGGTTATCCGAAAGGTAATGTAAGGTAAGGTAGGGTCGCATCGTCTGAGTGCTGGATTCGGAGAAATAGGATCGGGCACGGCAGATTGGCACATGCCAGATCCCCTCGGTCCCTTGCTACCCTCCGAATCTCCAAGGCTGCAAGGTTATCTGACAGGCTCAGCTCCTGTGAGCCGCATCTTTGTTTCTATGTTTCTTTTGTTAAATTGCCACTTTCGATGCGGACTCGGTGTATCCTGTATTGGTGTGCTTGCGTTCCATTTGTTAACGGTCGAAGCGGTGGCCGAGGAAAGGCGAAGCTCATCATGACCCGATGATAGATAAGAGAAGCAGACGAAGATCAAGCCTAGGTCTAAGATCGTAATGTGGCGGTGCTTCCACGCTCCGTACTCGTGCATGCATTGTCGTTTCTTTGAGAGAGCAGTTTCCCATACCTACACCATGTAGGAGAAGGTAAGGCACCTTCATGACGCTGATGCATAGGAGGTTTTAGCGAATCAGCCCACTACACGCAGCTAGCGGGCGACTGAGTCCACCAGGAATGGCCCCCATGATTCGTCTTCCTTCGGATCCGACAGGGAGCCACCTCGCCTGGCCGATGATTTTCAGGGAAGGCCCCATCACCCGAGGCAGGTGCCGTGCAAAGATGGTGGCGGCCCGGGAAGCTTGCGTGGGGCGGGCCTTCCACACTCTTGCCTCTTCTGACCACACGACTGGCGGTGCAGGTGCAGGGGAAGCAGAGGAAGTAGTGGGCTCCGGCTCTTTCACAGACCGGCGGCCTGGTTGACGTCAGACGAAAAGATGCGGCGACTTTGCGTACCTTGCCTTATGCTCGCCTCCCGCCGGCTCAGCTTACCACGCTTACTACCTTACGCCAGCACGCCTTATCCGATTTAATTAGACAGAAAAACACAAGTGTAAAGCGCGAACGGGACAAACGAGAGAGCAGCTAGTGAAAACAATACCCTTACCCTGTTTATTAGTTCCATCCGTCTATTTCCCTTTGCCCATTATCTCGCCCACTATCTTACACCCCGATACTTGATCCATCCTTGCTCGCATGACACTGCCATCCCATCCTCCTTCTACAATCTGCTACCTATTTGAGATCTCAGTTTTGTTTCCAAAGGGGCGAAACACATCTTGACTTGCCATGTTCTGTGGACGACAGGAGCACGCACACACTCACACCCACTCGCCTCATCCATAATTATCATCCAACTCACCCACACACGCCACACGTCGCATAATTTCAGCCCATTGCCCTGCTGCTGGCCCGGGGCCTTTACTTTTGAACCCTCGTCTCTATCTGCCATTCTGACCACCTTGCTCCAATTCAAACCGGTTACGGGCTCTTGAACCATCCTGTTTGGCCCACTCGCGACAACCGTACTCGGGTTCGCTTTGGAAACGACATCTGACGACTTGGTCCAAGCACGCCGAAATCCACGAGGGCATTGGACCAAATTGTGTGGCAGACTCGCGTCAGACATCGGAACCATATCAATTATTCTCAAGAGGCTTCAAGTGTTTACTGCTTCCCTCCTCTCCAACCAGAAAATCCTGGTTGTGGCTAAGTCAGCGCCTCCGTCGCCTTTCCGTACTCGGAGCCTCAGCCGTATCTCGTTTATCTCGTGTAATGTGCGAGTCAGACAGATACGCAGCTAGCTGCAGCTAATGCCGTTTTATTTATACAACACTGCATCCTCCCTTCTTCCTACGGCTCTTGGCTCACCATCACCGATTACCATTAGGCGTTTGAGGGGTCTATTTCCTGGGGCAAAATATTATTTGCTGCAGTCCAAGGAAACTATCCGGACCGAGAGCAATATGGCAGCTGACATCACCACGACACTGGGTATCCCAGGCCTCGCCGCCCCGATATTAGCAAACGCTACAAAGCCTAGCCTTGCCAACATCAGCGCTCCCTTGCTTGCCACCATAGTTCGCGATAGCTACCGTGCTACCTTCAAAGCTCGCGTCGCCGCCGGCGAAGCACGACCTTTTGTACTCCCTTATGGTATCTTTGCCAGCTTCATCGTCCCCATCCTCTACTTGACCTTTCCGCACACCAAACGGCCGTGGCTTTACAAGGCAAGATGGCTTGTGCTAGCCTTCATCGTCATCTTCAACATTGACATCTTGCTGGGCACCTCTAGCACCAACATGTCCATATCTTATGCTAGCGGCCTGTCAGCCTTCTGGGGAATACTGTCTAACTTAATTATGCTGGTATTCACGGCACCACAATTCGACTATGAAAGAGTTGTTCGGAGGAGGAAGGGTGTCACCACCCCAAACAGATCCAAGTCGTCTGCGGCTCGCGCAGCTCCAACAAACGGATCCGGACTCAGGAAGCGAGCTAGTAGCAAGAAGCGAAGAGCCGACCAAGTCACGGCCCCTGAAGTCAACCTCGAAGAGTACGAGTACTACTGGCAGACTTTCCCAGAGAATGGATGTTTTTCAGAGCGACTGGGTTGGGTTATCGACCTCTACACCAATTTCAGAGGAGTCGGTAAGAAAGCTTATTCCCCCATGTTAGAACGAGCTCTATATTAACGTAAATCAGGTTGGACTTGGGCTGTTTCGTCGGTTCCCAGTCCAGTTCCCCCGGAGAACCCTGGTACGGGTGAGCTCGTCAAGATGGATACCATTCCGTTGGAAACCTTCGTGGGGTGCCAGACCTACAAAGACGAGAAAGAGTTCTTGCGACGGAAGGTCATCCCCATCGCAATCTCGTATATGATCCTCGACATCGCCAAGGTTACCATCATGGAGGACCCATACTTCTTCCTCGGATCCGATTCGTTACCCCTTCCTGCACATCTCGCGGCTCTCCCACCATGGGCCTTATCCATATGGAGGCATGCTTCCGTACTCGGTATTCTCTACGCCGCACTCGTCATGGTCTTCTCCGTTCATGATCTGTTCCAGTACTATGTCCTCAGCAGAGTCTTCCCCATGCGGGGTGAGCTGTGGCAGTACTCCACGGTCTTTGGTTCCTTTACACAGATCTTGGACAGAGGCTTAGCCGGGTTCTGGGGAGCTTGGTGGCACCAGACCTTCCGACATGCTTTCTCTGCTCCAGTCAGTTGGGCTGTAAAACGTGGCTATCTCGAAAAGGGGGCGCGTAGCACAAAGGCAATTGGGATGTCTACCGCCTTCCTTCTTTCTGGTCTGCTTCACGGTTCCGGAAGCATCAGCGCGATCCCCGAGACCAAGTGGTGGAAACCAGCGCTTTTCTTCTGGTTGTCGGGGCTCGGCGTCCTCACTCAGCAAACGTTCTGTACGGCCATGAAGCCCCAGATTACAAAGATGCCTCGCACGCTCAGGAGAGCTGGGAACCTCTTATTCGTGCTCATGTGGCTGCACGTCACCGTCCAGCCGTTGGCCGACGACTTTTCGCAAACTGGCCTCTGGCTCATGGAGCCCGTCCCCGTTTCGGTCGTGCGGGCCCTCGGCTTCGGTCGCGGGGAGACGTCGTGGTGGAAGCCTGATATGGAGGCGATTGGACATTGGCATGTTGGACAGCATTGGTGGGATTCTGGGTTCAGCTACTAGAGCATCGGGCGCAAGCCCTCACCTCATGTTATGATACAACGAAGTAATGTGGTGGCTTTTTTTTGTAGATCAACTTTAGGGGAGATACTCCTTTTCTTTCGCCTGCTGCGTCCCCTCTGACTCGAGACCCCCGTTCACTTTGACGTGATCTGCACCTCCGCCCTCGTGCTGTTCTGTAGGATCATTTCCGGCGCGGAGCTTCTCGAGCCCATTCTCCTCCTCGGGCGTAAGTCTTCGGGGGACAACACACTCCTAGTGGTCGTTCTCCTGTATTTGTGTCGGTGAGCCTAGTATGTTGATCGGTGTAATGGGTCAGGAACACACCAACTTGACTACAATGTCTCTGTGAGGAAAGATTTGATTCATGTATGCCACCACGACAGACTTCTCTAGACCACAGATGGGGGTTCTATACCCGTACTGTATCCCCGAGAGGAAAAAGCTGCGCACGGTGGTGTTCATTTCGTGTGTCTCGAGCGTCCTGTCTTCTTGCTCGGTCCTCGAGTGAGCTTGGTCTGATGGTGATAAGTTCAGGCAGCTGATACCACCTGCTGTTTTCCCAGAGCTGGAGGTTGGGCGACTCCCGTCAGGGAAGGGAGGAGCTGTGAAATTTGATATCCATAAACGGTAGGTAGGCAAGCCTCAGCGGCTCGCACCTTCCCGCACATGACAACGAGGAAAGGGCGAAGGGTAGGTATATGGCCTCCGTCAAACCCATTCCCGTCACCAGCCAGCAGGCGCCCGTCTAGGTCGACGGGTCAGGTCAAACTGGCTGGGTGGTGGAGTGGTTAATGGTCAACGTCAATTATCTACGCCAACCAGCCTACTCGACGACAGGCTAAGCGCATACGAGTACCCCGAGTTCGAATCCCAGCATGAGCACCGAGAGATGTAGCCACACCGGTGGTGAACTCTTTTTTGGATGCTTTATAAATTGTCATTGCGTAGTCGGGCGAGTTTTTTGCGGGCTGATATGCGTACTCCTTACCTCGTATTGGGTAACTGCGACTACCATCTGGAGGTTCACTTTGCCACCGAGAGAAGGGACACGTGAGCCGACCAGTGGTGTTTTTTTGTTTGGAAAGAGCGGCTCAAAGTTATCGCGAGCTTGTCATGCTTGTCATTTTGAAATACTCGCACCATACGAAGCCTACCCATCGCGGCACGACCACGTCACTTGAGCACGACCGAGAATTATGATGTGTACTGGTATGCTTGACTACTGCATACTACTGAAGCCTGATAACCCAGCTTTAACAACCCTATGAGCCCTCCCAGGCAAAACAATGAGAAAGAAAAGGGGTATCTGAGCCGAAAGGAGATAAGCCATCCCAAACCCTAGTCTGTCCTAAACCTCCGCCCTTTTCAACGCCAGTCTGGCCAACTGCGTTAGGAGAAAATGAGGGGCATCTCGCAAAACCCAAGGCCAGTTCCAAACCAACCCAGACCCAATCTTCAGCGTACTGATGCCGAAGAATCCAACTCCGTGACGGGGAGAGAAAGAACCACCCATTGTCAATAAGAAGAAGACGTGAAGCCAAGAGAAAAGAAAACCCAATGCCCAAAACTCAACCTCAAAGACGCGGAAACCTAATGCCGATACCAGAACCTAAGCTAGCGATGTAATAGTTGCTATTCGAAAGAAATGCAGCCTTTTGATGTCGTAGTACTAGTAAAGAGCAAGAAGAGTCCTCGATGCCATGTGATATAGGTCGTGGACATATTAGTTGCCGTGGCCGCCAGCCGACATGAACGTCAGAGTGTTGGCACCCTCGACGTCCTCGCCGTTGATGGGGTAGGTAAGGCCAGGCTGAAAGGCGGGCTGAACGACCTGTTCGAAAAACGAATTAGCAAAGTCATTCCAAACCTTTGTAGAAATAAGCTATGACTTACATCGATCTGCGTGACGCTAGAAAGATCCGCAGTAACGGCCTGAATAGCCTGATCAGTCCCGTCGATCCAGTTTCTCGTCAGAGGGCATCTTCCCAGCTTCATGTTGGACATGATGGCCACGGCATAGCCGCGCAAGACTGCAATCGTAGGCAGCTCGCCGTTGTTGCGCTTCATCTGCGTCAAGACAATGTTGGTAACCCAGGCACTGTGGACGATCTCTCGAAGTACAACGTCACACTGCTGGCGCTGAGTGAGACCGGCGGCGCGGATGTGGAGCTTGAGCTTGGCCTGAATCGCATCGAGGAGATCGCCCAGGTCGGCGGTGACGAGGCGGCGGCTGGCGTTGCGCTCTTCAAGATTGGTGTTCGGGGCGATGGGCTGAGGCGGGAAGGCGTGCTGCTGAAGCGATACGGTCTGGAAAGACTGAACCTGGCCGGAAGACTGGCCCTGGTTGGAAGACTGGCCCTGGTTGGAAGTCTGAGTATGGGTAGATTGAGCCTGGTTGGAGGACTGAGCCTGGCCAGAAGTCTGAGACTGGGAAGTCTGCGAAACCTGAGCGACTTCAGGCGCCTTGCCCTTCTGAGAGCTCTTGGCCTTCTGAGGAGTCGCGGCCTTCTTGGAAACACCAACGGTGCCAGCGGACATGGAGCTCATGCTGGCAGTGAGAGAGTCCATCTTGCTAGTGTTCTGACGCTTCGCAGCCGGGGCCTTCTCGGCAGCAGCCGCCGCACGCTTGTTCTCGGCACCAGGGTGAAGCTGAGGCAGGCCGAGGTGACGGGGACCTTCGCCGTACTGAGGGGCATGGAGGTACGCGCCTCCGCCCTGGACTTGACCCTGCTGGGCGTATCCATGATCCTGAATAATACGTGAGTAGAAGAATTGTAGTGAAGTAGAGGTGCGATTCTTACCTGGGCCGGGATGGCCTGCTCGGCGAGCTTTCCCTTGGCCTCGGGAATCTCAGAGATCTTCATCTCCTCGACCTCGGGCTCCTCCTTCTTGACGTTGCCGCTGCCGCTGCCGCTGCGCATCTTCTCGTAGGTGTTGATGGCAGCGGCGCGGACGGGACGGGACTGCGCCAGTCCGACAGGAGCAGCCCTGCCCGCATCAGCGGTGGCGGCAGAGGCGGACCCCTTGCCGCCTGCCTCCGCGGGCGGGACGTACTCCTTGTCGGAGGGCGCGCTGGAATCCATCTCGTCGAAGTCGGAGTCGGAGTCGGAATTGTAGTACGACTTCTTGCCCTTCTTCTGCTTCTTCTTGCCCGCCTTATTCTTCTTCGAATGCTTGGGCTTCTTGGAAGGGCGAGTGGTGGCGGAGGAGGGGTTCTTTGCCTTTGTGGGCGTAGAGAGAGCCAGGGACGAATTCTGGGTGGTGGTGAGGGTGGTCTGTAGAAGAGGGAAGGAAGGGGAGGAAATGAGCTTCTGGGTGAAAAAGACGGATGTGGGTGAAAATGGCGTACCTGGGTCATCTTCTTTGCAGAACTCTTGGGAGCAGAAGACGAGCCCTTGGTGGGCGAGGCATCAGGCGTGTTGGCCTGACCGCCCGGGACGGCGATGGCCGCGGATGGCTGACCAGGAGCGCGCGATCCGGCAGCGCGCTGGGTCAAGAGTGCGTAGCGGTCCACCCAGTCGAAGTCGCCAACCTCATGAGCAACGTGAGAGCCGCGGTTCGAGATCTCGCCCTTGGCAACGCAGTCTCGGCAGACGACGAAGCCGCATTCTCTGCACAACTGGTGAACGGTCAGGGCGGCGGGCATCTTCTTGCAACAGTCGCAGGTATTCTCGCTTAGATCAGTCTTTTTCCAGTTGTCGTGACCACGGTCTCGGCCACCCGAAAACGCGGTGTGAGTCTTGAACTGGTCCATGACGATGATTCTGATGAAGTTCGAAGTGATGATCGTGATGGATAAGGGGTAAGTAAGCTCGTTGAGTTGCTGGTGTAGCGAATATTGATGGCTGAGCTGCGAAAGAAAGCTGACAGTGTCGAGGGAAGAAACGAAAACTCGAGCTGTCGAGGGAAGAAAGAGAATCAAAACAAGAGAAGACAGAGAGAAGAGGAAACAAAAAGTCCAGAGCTCTCGCCCTCCATGGAAATCTCCAATATCAAAAGAGCGGGTACAATAACCTGTGAATTGCCGCCTCATGAAGAAGCCCTAACCATAACGAGAGCGGGAGCAGTCGAGAAGCAGTGAGCCTCCCGTCCTCGAGAGAAATCTTCACCAGCAAGGGGACGGGTGAGACGGGGTCATTGCCTGCCTCAGGGAGAAGCACGCATCACAAGAAGGGCAAATCCAGGAAGATATGGAACTCTTGCTCTTCACGAAGACTCTTGATGAGGAAAGACTGGCTGAGAGAAAGGGGTAAAACTTCTACCAGCAATGCCTACTATCCATACTAGCAGAAGGGCAGATGTGAAAGAAGGGAACAGCTATCGATTCACAGGCTCTCGACATCAACATGACGGGCATATCAAGAGGGGTGAGCTTACAGACGATTAAACAAAGACAAGGAGAGCAAGAAGAATTCAGTGCTGTGAAAAAGACTTTGAATCCCTATCAAGCAGATGACATACTGCAAAGGAGCTTACGCATTACTTATGATGACTTAAAACATCAAAGAGGCTGGGTGGTATGCACGCGAGGGCCTCTCGCAAATTTGCGAAGCAAAAGTTGCTATCCATAAATAAGGAAGCTGGATATAAAGCACCTGATATACCTCGCATTCATCTGGGGCCGATGAGCTCTCATCTGATGTGTAGTTCCAGTGACAACTATGCCAGATCAATCGCAGAGGATGAGAATGATACTTAGTTGCGTTAGATTGAGTCCACAAGATCCCAGTGTGATTCGAAGGCTTTGATTGAGGGAGACCATCCATATTGTGATCGTAAGATTAATACGATGGCCAAGAAGGATCCGAGCCAAGGTGGCTGTGGCGTCACTGGAGATGGATGGTACTCCCAGTACGTCTAAGACTCAGTTCGAGACGCGTGCGGCTACCTGAGACGAGCCCTGGGTATAAGATCTGATTATCATCGCTGAAAACTTGGAGCTTCACATCATCTAGTGTGGGCTTGATCAAAGACCAATCATCTCGCTATGCGAGGATAAG